AAAGTCGGCTTTCCTGAAGTCAAGGACTTGCGCATTGCTGACCGACTTGCCAGCTTTTCGGCGGATGGTGAAGGTGATCAGCTCGTGGTCGCTGTCACCCAGCTTCCCATCGATCACTAGGTCGCCGACTAGGTCATCCCCAGTAGCCAGTACCAGGTCGAGCAGCGCTTTGCCTCTCGTTGGCCCATAGACTTCTTGAGTCAGGTAGACGTCATCCACGCACGAGAGAAAGCTCTGCGACCGCTCAGATTTTGCTGAGCGATCCTCCCATGAGATGTCTGGGTAATTAAAGTCACCCATGACAACCATGGTCCTGGAGCAAGCTGCCTCAGCCAGTTCCTGGGCAAACTCCTGTTCAAGCTCAGGACTTTGGGTGAGAGGTCTGTAATAGACTCCCACCATTGTGTCCCCTGTGCCGTGTTCCCCACGGATTTTAACCCAGAGGGTCTCCAGCCGTCCACCCTGGTCGCCAATATCAGCTTATGACTAACTTATGTATGCAGGTGGACTTTGGGCTGGCTTCTTCTTGCCCAGGACAAGAAAACCTTTTTTGGGGTTGGGCAAGGGTGAAAGGGAGGGGGAAAACCTGTTGGTTTCTTTTTCTGCTTGGCAGAGGATGAGTAGGCCTGTGCCAGTAAATTCTTGTGACAGTTTTGTAGTGGTGGGCTGCTTTGACAGGCTGAAAAAGTTTTCATTCAGCGTGATGGTAAACTTCCAGTTTCCAGCAAAACCCACCGCTTAGCAAAGAAGGTTCAGTCACGGGAAGAAAAAGATTAAGGTATTTTAGAAGGAACTAAGTATTTTTTCCATTGTTGCAGAATATTTTTTCTTGCTCTCAGGAATGATTATTTTCATGTCTTTAGGGCAAGTACAGAGGGTACCATAGAAGTGGTTCCCCAACTGTGGTCCATGAGCCCCTAGTAGTGTGCAAGTCCAAGAGTAATAGTCTGTAGAGAGCAATGGATGCCCCCCCCCCTTAATTTAACATTGGATAAGAGTGTCAGATGGTCCTTAAGAAATGTTGAGGCTTGAAAATGGTCTATTGGCTTATACACTTTTCCCCCATGTTATTATCTTTAAAGGAACCTAATAACTATGCTTGAACTGTTTTATTTTCTACATTGGAATTCAATTAGCATTATGTATTTACAGGAGAAAAATGGTAACTTTCCACTGCAGTACATGCACACTAGTCCAAACAGGGGAAATGCAGAGTTAAATCTTGGTTTTAATTATGTTATCACACAGCTTTGGATTCAGACTATTTAAAGGGACAAGCTGCTGTACAAAGCAAGTTTAGCTTAGTCCCAGCTAGGCTTGGTTTTGGGGGTCAAATTGTAGAGTCTGCTTTCATCAGAAAGTAGTTCTGATGAAGCTCAGCTGAAGAGAAGTCGGCCATTGAGCTTCAGACCTCCATAAGTAACTATATTTTATCAGGACCTATGACAGGCCATAGTTAAAACCCAGCAGTTACTCCATAAAGTCATGTGTTGCGTCCAGATGAATGGGGCATGCACTTGCAGTGGCACAAATAGTAGCGACACAAATTTGTGCCATTACTTTGTGCTGCAGTGCACACCCCTGCATGTGCCCTTTGTTATGGGCCATGGCTGGCTCCCAGATGGGCTCCATCTACTGCAAGGTTGGAGGTGGGGAGAAGAGCGGGGGGAAAACTGACTGGGGCACAGTGTGCCTCAGTATGGGGCTAGCCAGTAGGCAGCCCCTGTGCCGTGGCACCCTGCGCACCAGCCAGCTGGAGAGTAGCATGTGGAGACAGGGGAGCAGGCAGCCCTGGTTTGTGGTGCCACAAATTGCACATGCCTGCATGTTTGGACATGCCCATGGAGTCATAGGTTGGCATGTCCTTCCTTCCTCATCCATAGATCAAACTGTTTTGATTTGTAACACATCCAAGTTTGGTTTCGCAGTAGAGTCTTCTCCTTTTCCTCCTTGCAGGCATATGGGTGGTGCTAATTTTAAATGGCTCTTGCAGGAAAATATGAGCTTTACAGAAAAGAGTTTTGACCTGTGACCTTGAGAAAAAAAAATTAAAGTAAAAGTTTCAAAACTTCTACCACTCAAGAGCAGAACATTTTAAAATCAAAGTTATCCGGTTATGTAATTTCCTTTGGGACAACAGATCTGCAAAGATCCATTCTGTACCTGGATTTTTTTATTTCTATGCCTTTTTCCCTTTGTGTGTTCATTTTTTAATTTTTTAAAAATAAAACTCAAGCAATAAAATAAGGCAAGATTAAAACTGCAAATTTAAGTTGTCATGAAATTCTTTTTTCATAGCAAGATTTTTCGTGTCCCCAGTACACATACATTATTTTTGTTGCATTAAATGTTCACCTTACAGATTAGGAGCAAGGTAGGCGAGTTAAAGTTGTTGTGAAAAAGTTAGTTTTAACTTGCAGATTCATTGTTGTGTTTAAAACTGAAAAATGAACAGTACATTAATTTCATTTAGGACAGTGGTCACCAACCAGTTGATCGACTGGTCGATTTTGGAGCCTCTGGCTGTCTGTCTCAGTCTGTCAGAGGCTCCATGATCTGGAGTGGCAGGACGCATGTGGCTGGGCTGAGCCACACCCCTGCTGCCTGGGCTGGGCTGGGTGAATGGGATCAGAACTTGCGTGGCTTGGAGGGGGGGCAGGGCTAGGGTCAGGGGTGTGGAGCGGAAGCTGAGGCGGGGCCAGGCAGGGACGGTAGATCCTGAGGTGCCCTTTACTTACAAAAAGCGATCTTCACCATAAAAAGGTTGGAGACCACTGAGTTAGGACCTGGTTGTAAGGTGCTGAAACAGGAAGTGAATATAGAAAGCTCTCCAGGGTAAGGTGATTCATTTAATTCTAATGTACTGAATCTTGCTTGGTGTTTAATGGCCTAAAATTAAGGGAGCATTGGATATTTCAAAACAAAATTAACCTGAAATATGTATTTTTCTAAGAATGTTGGAATGTCTTTGTCTGCTCGTTTTAGCCAGATTCAGCAATGTACTGCTTTACAACAGTCCAGTTCACTTTGACTTATTAGGCTGCGTACACACATTCAAATAATCAGGGAACATTCTCCCAGGTTTGTTCTCCTGGTAGAGAACCTTATCCAGAGCTGTATGTACAGACATTCGAATGCTGAGGCTCTGAAGACTTTAGAGTTTGCAGTGCTGATACTGCAGCTGGGGTGTGAAGGGGTCTTGGGGGGGGTGGTGTTTGCACACATCTCAGCTGCTCTGAAGGCTCCCTTAGTCTGCCTGGCAACACATGGCAGCAATGCATAGGGCAACCCTGATTGGTGCACCCATCTTGTGTGTCCTTGCAGCACAATGTGGGCATTCTGGGGCAGGGTGGGGGGCTGTTGTATTTGTTGCTAGAACAGCA